GCCCCGCTAATTCTTAGCTGTTGGTTTACGTAACCGCTGTTATCACTCCAACGATAATGTTCCGCCGCCGAGTCGCGATAGATTTTATGTAATTCTGCACAACGCGCACGCTTTCGTTTGTTGCAGTTTGAACGACGTTCGCTGCAAATTATATTGTTCACTTCGTTTGGTGTAAAATGTAAACTTGTAAAGATTTTTTTAATCTCATTCGATAGTATTTATAGTTCTACTTTAACCTTTTTTTTTTAAGGGGGGAACATCATCGAATGGCTGCTCCCGCCTGGGTGAGGCGGGAGAGAGTGTCAAGACTCTTACTTTGCTAAAAACCACATCGTTCCTTCTCCTGCAAGTCGAGCCGGTGCCCCGGTTACCCGTTAGGTTCTCCGTCTACTTTAACCTTAGCCTTACTTAATAGGTCATTCTCAAGCTCTTCTCGAGACTTTCACACTATGTGAGTCACGTTGATGAGATGTGGCGCGGTGCCCTGAGCGTGAGGCGGGCGGTGGTAGACCTACCATCAGCCCTCGATGATCGTTCACTCCCCTTCACCGGGGAGTGTGGGGTATTGTCGCTGTCTGAGTGGCAGTTTTTAAAACATCAGCTTTTCAAAAGAGACTTTGGTCAGTCGAGTAGGTACTTTCTTGATGACTTCATAACTTATGCCCAAGTTCAATTCTAAGTATGATGTGGGAGTATGTTTGACTTAAGCCATCTAATCTTGTTAAGTAGCACGTCTGTAGGAAGTGTAGGTGCCATCATGGCGACGACTGTTTGTTTATTGCATACGTTTTTAATTCCTCCTACACGCGTTTAAACGAAGATGTTATAAAAATGCGAAACATATAGCGGTAAGATTAAACTGAACACAGATTTTTTTTTGTTTTCCCGAGAACACAAGGCGTGCCGGTGTTATGTATCTATTTCACACAACGATCTGGTTATTAGTAATTAACAGTCCAACAGTCCTCTTCATCTTGCCCATTCAAAAAAACCTCTATAAGGACTTTTCTCCTTCAATGAAGGAAAAATGTGGTCGAAAAAATTCTATTATGAAGTTAACCCCACTACCTCTCATAGCTTGTACCACAACAACAATGATTTTAGTATAACGACAGTGATTCGGTACCGTTTCAAAAGGTAAATAGTTAACAATTGTAGAGAGAGCCCACGGAGTGGAGGCACCACGCTTTCAAGACGTACACTAATGACATCGTTCACAATGGACGCCTGCATTGACGAATGACTGACATTCATGTTAACCACTTGTAAGTTTGTAAGCATTGTGATTACTGTAAATGTAGGAAATGTTAAATGACCTTCGAACTCTTGTTTTAAGTGAACTTCGTGTGATAGAAGTTGCTAGAAATATCCCTTCCATCACGTCTATTTATGAAGAAACAGAGAGTCACACATTAGACATGTAGAAAGTACCTACTTTTTTTTTAGGGGAGGAATCATCGTATTCCTTCTCACGCCCGGGTGAGGCGGGAGGGACTGTCAGACTCTTACTGACTAAAAATCACCCCATTCCTACTCTTGTACTTCGAGCCAGTAACCCGTTAGGTTCTCCGCGGCTCCGTATCGGCATCAGCCCTATTGGGCCCCATCCGTGGTGGTCTGATGGCTCTTTAGAACGCGACGCGCCAGTCCTATGAACTAGGTGATCATTTTACCATAATTATGTCTGTTAGATTGACGGCAATCGAGCCCAAGGCCTTCTTCTCAGTAGTCGCATTACCGTTACAGGCTTACAAGTGTCCTTATCCCTACACTTTTTGTCGCGGAGAACCTAACGGGTAACCGGGGCTCCGGCTCGACGTGCAGGAGAAGGAACGGGGTGGTTTTTAGTCAGTAAGAGTCTGACACTCTCTCCCGCCTCACCCAGGCGGGAGCAGTCATTCGATGATTTTCCCCCTTAAAAAAAAATATATCCCTACACTTTAACACTTGTACACGACTACACCAGTTTATCATTGTGTGTATCATTCTGGCACAAACACACAAAACAACGTATTTACTATGAGCGATCTCTACGCTCTCGTTTGGCAAAGGTTTAAAAAAACAAAGTCGATTTTCTTCCACAGATGTATTTCTATTCGAAAAGTACAATTACAAAAGTAGGTACAATATTTTACAAAAAAATATTCGAGTGTTAACAAAAAATCTAGAAATAGGCAACTAATATGTACTAAGAAATGATAAAACCAAAGTTATAACAAAATTATATCGAAAAAACTAGAATACAATACTTTTCCCGCGCAAAGCAGGTTTGTACTAAAATGGTATGGCACCTCATTCAGTTCCAACCAATAGCAGTGATACATTTTGGTTTCGGAGAAACTATCCTTGTTTCTGATTGGTTGACGGTGCAACGGAGACATTTAGAATGAGTTGTGATTGGTTGATGAGCATGAGTAGTATGAAATCAATTATTTAAAGAAATGAATATTATTTATACTGACTCGTATACAATGGACTGTGTTTGCTGACCTTTTTTCACAAAATAGTTTTCTGTACTTGATTTTACATTGTTTTAAAAGAAATTGAGCATAAATGTTTTATGATAAGTACCAAATGAATTATAGGCCAACGTTGTTAAGTATAAAGGAATTTCTTCTGACCTTCCTTTTTAAAAAGGTTTTATAAAAATATCAATTTCACCGCGTTCCAAGTAATTTCATTACACTTCTTATAGGTTACCTTGTTAGCACCGCTTCTTGACTTAATTGTCAATTTACTTTCAAACATACCTACTGTTTTTTCTTACTTGTCCTAATACAAAGTACAACAAATGGACTAAGTTTCTTCAAAAGCGAGTATTACTTGAAGATATATTAAACACCGCGAGGACACCGGTGACCGCAACCTATTGTTCTATAATTGTGTCTATAATGACGGTACTTAAAGAGTAAAACACCAAATGTCGATAAACAAAATGAAGTTGTAAATTGAACCTTAATGGTACTGATGGAACTTACAATTTTTTTATGAATACAGTCGTCCAAGAGAATATTTTGTTTGCAGTATTGAAGGCTTTATGCATAAATAATTTAGGACAAATAAGAAAATCACTCTATATCCTAATGCCTTGAGCAATTCCTAAACCCATACCTTACCAAACAATATCGACTTAAGTACATATCTCAGATATTTGTTAATCATAGGCTTTTAGCTACATTTTTATCCATCACATAATTTTGCAAAAGATCGTCATTATAATGCCAATTTTAACAATTTTGAAAATGATAAAACTTATTTATGAACTACAAATCAACGCCTGGATTTATTAGAAACATGTCTTGTCTATATCAAATAGCAAATCCATAAACACAAGTTTACGAAACACGGTGACTAGTAAAGCATGCTCTGTTTAATGAAAAAACTATAGACCAAATTGTTTCTATAGTTTGCAGATAGTATGCAGCAAAATGCAGACAAAATAACTAAAATGAAATCGAAGCGAATCAATTTTTCATACATTTATTAAAATACCTACTAAGCGATCGTTAATGCCTAATTTTAGCTTATATTATTTACAATCACAGAAATATAACTAAGTTTTACGTAAACATGTTTATAGGCCAGTCATTTTAGTAAAAAGTTTGAATTGAAAAAATACAAAAAGTAGATAATATTTTCTTAGTCTGGCAACACAGAATTGGTAGGAAATTCAAATACTACAATTGGTAGAAATCGTTTAAGTACATAATATGGCGTTAGAAATACACGTTTAAACTCTCCAAATATAATATTATATGCTTAATGTTAAAAAATCTATTTTGGAGTACATCACTACTATCCGATCAATATTCAGATACAAGGTTTGACATCTTGAAAAAAATATTATTAATATTTGTCTGGGGTCTAGAAAACTAGTCTAGGTAATACCCGGGTGTCAAAAAGACGTCGTAGATTATGAGGCTATTAAATTCTGACACCAGAACAAGCTCTTTGTAAATATAATCAAATAGTTATTCGAAACTAAGCTCAAGTATATTTGAAAGCAGTAGAAAAATCACACACACATAACTTTTACTCAATATATCGTAATAATTTAAAATATGTACCTTACCTACATGTCTACTGCAATAATAGGAACGCAACACATTCATAAGGCGAAGGTAAGTAAGCACAGACAATAAATAATTGAATAAGAAGCGTCTATTCTTTATGACTTTAGAAGAAGCATAGTTAAACACAACCTTGGCACAAAACCTCATTTCAACTTTTGTACATAAATTAAAGCTCGTTTCTTTATAATTCGCAAATTAAGAAAACTTTTGTGTACATGACACATTATTATCTTATAAAAGAGATATCCAGTATTGTAATTTCTTATATTATGTCAGAAATTATTGTAATCATGACATTCCTTTAAAACCTTTATTCATTATGTGAAAAAGACATAGAATATCAAAATAGTGATTTACAGTGAACATTTGTATTTATTATGGAGTCATAAAATTTTATACAATATGTATTGAAAATATCAAAATCCTAATATCAAGAAGTTTACCTTAACCGGGGAATCTACAAGGAATTTTTATATTTTTATCATGTATGGAAAAAATTAAAATCATTGGCAGTTAGGAGTACAGACAGTAATCTTAATACAAGTTTTAATATTATGGGTAGTTACGAACTAAAGAGACTATATCACATAGTGGATACGTGGGATATCGTTCAGTATAATATACCATTCAGCTTACACACATAAATATACTTTTAATACAACAGTAATTACCACAAAACCGGACATTTCATACACTACATTATAACTAAAAGTCGCGACAACTAATCTTTTCTCAACTTGTTTATTTGTTACGTGTATCACAAATACCTACTACCCTTTAGGAAATCTAAGTGTAATTACAAATCTTATACTATTATACAAAACGGAAGAGATTGTTTGTTTGTTTGAACGCGCTAATCTCCATAACTACAAGTCTGATTTGAATAATTCTTTTTGTATTGGATAGCGCATTTATCGAGGATGGCTATAGGCTATAAAACATCACGCTACGACCAATAGGAGCTGAGCAGAGCGTGTGAAACAGCGCGGAAGTAGCTAGTCTTCAAATAAAGATTTGCCATCGCGACTTAAAATTTAATCTTACAAACTAAAATCTACTTATTATCCTGCTGCGCTTTGGCCAAGAATTCTAAATTACTGTGGTGGGAGTCTATTCTATTCATATTGGCTTTGAACTCGTCGCGGGGTGACTTTGAGAGGATCGGGGAGGATGGAACGAGGGTGTCTAAAGAACCTCTTTCTACGTTACCTTCCTTATCTAAGTTCTGTTTTTCCATTTGTAAAAAGTTTTGTTGGGATCCATTGACAGTCTTGGCCAGTGCGTTGTCGGGGTATGACAAGTCAAAATTTGAGATTGATAGCAGTTTGTCCCCGCTCTCGAGACCCGAGCCCAGCGACTTCGATGTAGTCATTCGGTCGTCTGAAAAATTAATATAGGAATTTTACTCTACACAACATAACATCATGCCTTTTCATCCCCAAGAGGTAGGCAGAGGTGCACATTACGGCACTTAATGCCATTGTACAATGTAACATTTTTCACTATTTATGTTAAGTCCCATGTAATAGGGGGTGAACCTGTTACTATTATAATACAGGGCATAAATCCAGACTCCGTGCTACTACTAAGATTTCAAAAAAAATAACCAGTAATACTTTGCTCGACCGGAAATCGAACCCGAGAATCAGAAATATAAATTTATATCTGGTAATTACCTAATTAGGTTAGATCATCTGATTACAAAAAACAAAATAGATTATTATGTAGCTCGCACACTCTTGACATGTGTCTAGTGTTTGAAAATATACCTATTTCCATTACAACCATGAGGCTATCGAAATGAGTGTGATAATATTTTATAAATTTACCTTTAGTATCGTGGTTATCATCGGCGTCATGTTCATGGTTGTCCTTGTGGTCCTTGGGCACGGAGGAGCTGCGGCCACCGTCTAACAGTCCCAATACCCTGCAGAAACATTATTCATACAATAGTCTGACTTAGTATTAAGTGCTAGTGCAAAATCAACTTTATTGCGACGGTTTAACCTCTTGTATGTCGGTATTTAGACAATAGAATATTGTGTCTCGCGTAGATGTACGCTTCGACAAACCAGAGGTTAACAGCACATGAGCAAAGACAGGAGATTTTGACACGAAAATAATATAAAATGCATGCTCTTGTTATTTGTAGCCCGTTCAATTCACTTTACGTAGACATCACATCACGAGGAAAGTCGCTTATGCGCTGGACTGATCAAATTAAATCGGCAATAGGAAAAACTGTTTCAGACTGCGCCTGGCAGTCCATAAATAGAGAGAGAGAGAGAGAGAGAGAGAGAGAGAGAGAGAGAGAGAGAGAGAGAGAGAGAGAGAGAGAGAGAGAGAGAGAGACCGTGGGAGATCGTGAGGAAAGCTATAACTGCCTCCAACATAAATACGGGTGTCTCAACCCGACCACAATCGTTCTGCCAAGAGCGAAACGACAGAGAAGAAATCAATTTCGATTTAAAATAACTGTCTATAAAATGAAATTGACACGCCAAGACGCAAATACCTACAAAACAGGGATTACAACCATCCTATTATTATTTATATTATCATTTATTAAGATATCGAAGTAATATTACAGCCTAATAAGTTAGGTATTTAAATAAATCGCAAAATGAGTAATACAAACTTATATTGTGGTTCCAAAAGAGAAAAAATGCTAATAATAAGTATTCAATATGGCTAGCCGTAATGTAAGAGAGATTCTTAGATAAAGAAGGCGTCACGACTGACGAGTCACTATATGAAATGAAGAGGTGTTGTACCTTGCCTACTGATCATGATAATGACAATGTGATGATGATGTAGTGATGATGATTAAAAAAAAAACGTTCCTGAATGCATTTCTTAACATACAAGTTTATATTATATACATGCCATAGACCAGAAACAACAATTTGTGGATCACACAAAGAGTTGCTCCGTGCAGGAATTGAACCCGCTACGTTGCGCGACAGCCGGTTTACCCAGACACCGCGTCAACCAGACAGTCCAAAGTCCAACTATCCAGTAAAATGATGATGATGAATGTGATTATGATATAATTATGAATGAATATTCGATTTTTTAATATTGTAATATCAAGAAAGAGGCGTTGGTAATATTGATAGTGACTCGGCAATCATTGTGCCGATAGTCGCATCTACCAACGACCTCATTGCCGAAAGCGTGGACCAACACCTAAGCAGAAAGCAGTACTTCTGGATACGCCAATGTAAAATGATTTATCTTACTTACCAATCAGTACAAAATCTGATTTCGGTGGTCGAGGACGAGGAAGACGGATTGGGACCTGTTTTTTATGTGGGTGATAGTCGCTCGGGGTACTCAAATCGGTAAAATGAAAATTCAAATACAAATGTCGCATATATAAGGATCGGATGGGCCTATTGGGATATAAGCTGAAAATTAAATGATGGAATGGAAATTAGAATTAACACTGAAATAATGACATTATAATGACATCATGATATTAGAATTTAATTTTGATTAAAGCATTACGTGTATCTAGCCACAATTTTGCATGCTTTTAGTGTTAAGCAAACTATGTATGAACCAATACAATAACACCATGTTTTTATGCAAATTGAATCTTAAAGTTTGTTGCGTGACATCGCCACGACTGCGCACGCTGCTCATGACGAAGAGTCCCTCTATAACACGAAACTAGTACGAGCTTACGACTCATAAATTTTAGTTAATTAAAGAATATTTTATCTAGAGTTTTATTTTACATGATTTTCGTGTCAAAACCAGTATAAAATAAAAATGTTCTTTATATAAAATTTAATAAAAAGGTGCGTACTGTTCATTTTCTAGGGTCTCTATTGTGTCTAACGTGCTTGTTTGACATATCTAGATGTATGTCGTTTTCAAATCATGCAATACGAAGTTAGTGCGCATTGTACCTCTTTTGACATCCATAATTTAGCATATAGAGAAGAAATATATACATAAATTAGTTTACATAATAATATAATACATAATTATATTATATACCAGAGTTTAAAGTGCTATCATGCTTACATTTGCATATTTTAAGTCACAATTTTCGATGGCAGCGCCACCTCGAGTGCGAGAAAATATAGTTTTGTATTTGTGTTAATTTTTATATCGGAAAAATTGAATGTCGTGCGTAACTGTTAAATTATATGTATGAATTATATTAACGCATATTACATTAAAACAACATAGCGTCACGCATTTAATACCATAAGTGGTAGGTAGATGTACATATGTACAATGTTAACCTACTTTTTACTTACTATATTGACTCTGACAGAATTAAAAATAAACTAGCACCACAAGAAGACCAATTATGGCAATTGGCTCACAATTAATTTACGGGACGGCAAATGGTTCACAATTAATTTACGGGACTAACAACATATCTATTGAATCGTTTTGACTAATAACATGAAAACATTTTGTTCTTGACTTCTTGTTGTAATTAATAGTTAAACACAAAATGAGTATCAGAAGTTTTTCACAACATAATGTACTATAGTCAGAATTTTAATTAGATTCCAGATTTGACAATAGCTACTGTCATTTTGTGAAATAATGATACCACATATAATAGTGTAGTGATGAACACAAAAATCGATAAACAATCAGTGTGTGTGCTTTATATAATAAATGTTACAGAAAGTGACAGGATAGCGATAATGGCGACAATTTATAAAATAAATTACTACCATAATACATGTATCTTTTGTATCTGTGTCCATTTACATTTATGAATAAAGATTATTTATTTATTTATGTATCTGTTTTATTTGTCATGTTCCTTCATGATTACATTTTTTTATTTATTTCACACACAAACAAAAGAAAAGTCTCAGATCGTTAATTAATCGTCAAAACTAAATTATCGGTTCAGAAATATTTAATTTCCTGATATACTTAGTTTACGAGAGTAAAATTATAAACGAGAAGAATCGATCCAGAAATATTTATTTCCATATCGAATAATTTCGCAACGTCACTATTTAGTATTTGTCATAACGTTGCAACACTGAAATTGTCAAATCTCGAATCGAATTAAAATTCCGAGTATAGCTTCTGTCAACTGCTTCGCCCGCTTTGCCGTGAGATAAAAACAGCATGTCTACTACCCCTGTTTCAAATTTCATACCCTTTCCTTCAGCTGTTTTGATATGAAAGAGGAACATACTAACAAACACACAAATCTTCGCATTTATAATATTAGTTGGATTTACCTCGAGTTGCCAAGATCTCCGAAGGGCGGTCGGTTGGGTGTGGGCGAGGGTCTCTCTAAGTCTTCGACGCCATGACCTTCCATTGCCAACGTAGAGCCGATGTCGATTTCTCCTTCTGTATTGTTAATAAATAATTTATTGACTAAAATTCATTCGGAACAACCCCTCTGTGGTTCGAAACTAGTAGAGCTTTTCTCAGTATATTCCTGAGTATCCCGCGATGTTTAGTTAATTTAGTATGGCTCACGATAGTTATTATAAAAATAATTGTATCATTTATTCAAGACAAACTGAAACTTATCATTATAAGGGGTAAATGTCACTCCAGAATAGTTACAAGTACGTTGCTAGCCTATTAGGGATAGAGGAAGACGGATTGCGAGGATTCGATTGGTCGACAGATCTGTATATTCTATAATACCTAAAAGTGCTTAATGCTGGTGACACATCTTACGATTTAACTGTACATTTGTAAGTTTACAGACAAAATGGACAGTTAAAATCGTAGGTCGATGCAGCCTACACAGACGAACCTTCAGTTAAAACTATACAGTTCAACTGTTTGGGCTACACACAACAGTAACTATACAGTCGAACTGTACAGTTAAATCGTAAAGTGTGTAGGGTGCATTAGTATTTCTGTTTATATTTATTTATAATTTTTGTGTTCCCGAGAGCCGCGGTTCGGCACGAATGGGCCGGCTCGACCGGAGTGATACCACGGCCGAGCAGAAAACCGACGTGAAGCAACGCTAGCGTTGTGTTTCGTCGTGTGAGTGAGGTTACCGGAGGCCCAATTACCCCTTCTCTTCCCCAATCTCCCCAATCCCTAAGTCCCTAACGATCCTCAAACTCCAAATCCCAAAAACGCCAGTAACGCACTAGTAACGCCTCTGGTGTTCCAGGTGTCCAGGGGCGATGCCGATTGTTTACCATCAGGTGATCCGTCTGCTCGTTTACCGGCTTATGCTATAAAAATAAATTAATTAGAAACAACAAAATTTTAACAAAATTAACATCTGACTGCTACAACTGCATGGCAGTTTGTCTGCAGTAGGTTCTCGTGGATTTCGCTTGCATATATCTTAACCGATGACACACAATCAGGTCAGTTGTATTAAAGCGTCAGGTATTTTTATATATTTAATAGAATGGTCTTTTAACTCGTCGAGTACCGGTTTTGTAGACACAATTATAGAACAATAGGTTGCGGTCACCGGTGACTGCTTGGTGTTTGACAGTTTAAACCGATTTAAAAGTCAACGGTGAAACTTACCCTCAGTATTGTCGTATAGTTTGATGCCGGGTATCTCCCTCTCTTTCTCTCCGTCGGCGGTGGCAGTCTTCTTGTACGTGCACGTCTTGGACAGGAGAGGCTGCCATCTCGCGACCTATGTATTCACAAAACATAAAATAATAATATAATATCATAAAGGTATTGGTAAAGTTACATAATTAAACATAATATAATTGGGTACTTTCCTTAATCAAAAATAAATTATTTCGACTGTTAAATACAATAAAATATTAAAAAATAATCACACCATAATTCATTGATTTTATGAACAACTTTATTTTAGTATTTTTCCAGCAAATATTCAAGAAATAAGTATGCTGTTTGACGCTAAAAAAACGTGACGTCACAATACACAATCTCGTACAAAATTGACGTTTTTGACAGATCGAAAAAAAGTATTGAATTTGACTAGTTGACAAGTACCCAATTAAACATAATATAATTATGTTACTCAACTCTATATTAACCTTGTAGCCGTACCTGTCAGCTATGGACGACAAACGAAAAGTACTATAAAAACGACGTTTTCTCATCGGTTATGACTGGGGAATGCAATCTCGGTGTCGCGAGATTAACGAGATTGCTTTACTAAATGATTTTTGTTTGATATTAGAAGAGAAGGCTATTTCCTTGAATTTGTGGTTTGATAGTTACGTACGCCAAAGTTAAAGTAGTAAGCTAATTGAAATTGGGTTTGAAACTTTAGGGCCGTGGGGCCAAGTGCACATCTTCTTTACAAAGATATTGTAAGGAGGATGGTTAACACTTCAGGTGATCGAAGGGCTGGCTACTACCTTGGGTAAAGGTTAAGCATTGCCATTCAACGTGGCAATGCTGCCAGTCTTTTGGACACCCTACCTCACGGTAGCTATTAAAAAAATGTTTTCTTTGATGCCTTATGATTTATTTTTATTATTTTTTTTAAGGTGTAAATATTTGTCGTCTATAGTCGAGCGTAGTGGTCAAAAGGATACAAAAAATACTTAGGTATGCCTAATCTCACGATAAGCTCTTACATCATTCATGGTCATGCAAACTGAACGTGCATACAAAATTTCAGCTCAATCGGTTGAAGACACCTGCTTCAAAACTTAGTTGCAAAATTCTACTTCACACACTCATATTATATTCATACATACATATATATATCGTAACTTTAAAGTTTTACATTAAAGCTGTAAGCTGTAATACTACTACAAAGCGCGGTCCACTATTTATTATTTAACTAGCTCCTCTCGCGCAGTTCCAACCCGCTCTGCTCGGCTCTTATTGATCATAGCGTGATGTTCTATAGCCTATAGCCATTCTCGATTAACACACTATCCAACACGAAAAGAATTATTCAAATCGGACCAGTAGTTCCTGAGATTATCGCGTTCAAACAAACAAACAAAATTCAGCTTTATATAATAAAAATAAGATATAAATTTAACTACAGAAACTTCATTATCAGCAATTGCATTGTATAGTATAGTATAGATAAGCGACGCACGAATTTACGCATTCCAAATATTACTTGAATATATACCTAATGCGTAAAAAAATAAACTTACTTTCGCTTTTGTCTTCGGTTGTGACTAGATGTTAAATATAAATTAACATTAAATATAATTATTTAGGATAGATAAGAGACACTCAACCGAATGTCGAAGCATATTGCTTTTCTGTATGTCGTGTCGTGAGTATTTGTGAGTCGCCAAATGCTGGCAGCCGATTGGTGGGCGCCATAGCACTATACTTAGTTTCCGTCTTTACTAATACTACATTTAACTGTCGTCTAACAACACGTGTCGAGGGCTCGATTCTCGCACGCACCCCTATTCTTTGTGTGATCAACAAATTATTGTTCTTGTCTCGGTATAATGCATATGTAATTTTGTAAACAAACTCACGACATAAAAGAAAATCCTAGGGGGGTAATGCTTGATTATTTGGAAAAGGAACTCTACTTGGGTAGTTGAAGTTACATACATAACTTCACGCCTGTCTCCCATGGGGGTAGGCAGAGACTAAGGAACGCCAATTACTACGATTCTTACATACCTCTTTCGCTTCATTAACAGTCATCAATCTTTTCATGCATGCTCGTCGGTTAAGGGTACTTTTAATTTGGCCCTTCTTTAATATATCGCCAATCTGGTTACATTATAAAATAATATTTTATACACGTATAATGTCGCATGTGACTTTATCATATCGTTTAGAAAATTAAATCAATATTATTATAACTGCTGACTGTTGATGAAGCGAAAGGGGTATGTGAGAATCGTACCAATTGGCGTTCCATAGTCTCTGCCTACCCCTAAGGGAGGCAGGTGTGAGGTTATATATATGAGGTTATATATATGAGGTTATATATATATATATATATATATATATAACCTCACACCTGCCTCCCTTAATTAATATATTTACATCCCGCAATCGATTGGACGTCCCATGAAGGCAAAAGTGCATTTAATCTGGCGTCCACCTGCTTTTGGCGTCCGCATACCGGACGCCACTTTTTTGGTCTATGCTACTTAGGTCCTTTTGGTCCTGGCTACACGTAGGT